GCACCTATCTCCTAGGGTTGTTGTGAGGATCAAACGAGATATTTGTCATTGTTGTTGTTTAGACACATCCAGCTCTTTGTGGTGCCATGGACAATAGCACGCCGGGCCCTTCTAGGCTCTACTATCTCTCCAAGTCCGTCCAAGGTCATGCTTGTTTTTTCTGACACCATCCATCCATCTCATCCTCTGCTCCCCCCTTTCCTTTTGCCTTCAACCTTTCCCAACATCAGCGTCTTTTCCTGTCTTCTCATTACGTGGCCAAAGTAGTTCATCTTCAGCATCTGACCTTCCAGTGAACAGCCTGAATTAACGTCTTTTAAGTATTGACTGATTGGAGTGCCTTGCTGTCCAACCGGCTCTTTAAGTCTTCTCCAGCACCACAAGTCAAAGGCGTCGATTCTGCAGTGCTCAGCTTTCCTTACAACCCAACTCTCACAACCATACGTTGCTCCTGGAAAAACCATAGCCTTGACTATATGGACCTTTGTCAGCAAGGTATTATCAGTGCTTTTTAGTATGCTATACAGATTTGCCATAGCTTTCCTTAGCAAACCTTAAAGTGCTGTAACTATTAGTAGTAGTAGTAAAAACTAATCTGACCAATAGGAGTGAAAAGAAAATTCAGGATGAGAGAGCAGTATATGGGGGGGGGCTGGGAAAGAACACTAGGTGGTGAAGTGATCTGGAGCCGAGTTCAAATCTGGTCTCAGACATTGCTGTATGACCCTGGGCAAGTCACATAACCCTGTTTGCCTGTTTCCTCATCTGTAAAATGAGCTGGAGAAGGAAAGAGCAAACCACTCCAGTATCTTTGCCAAGAAAACCCCCAATGGGGTCATGAAGAGCTGGACACGACTGAAAAATGACTAAATATATATATATATATATATATATATATATATATATATATGTGTGTATATATATATGTGTGTGTGTGTATATATGTATATATATGCATATATATGTATATACACAGATATATTCATATATAAATCTCCATATCAATTTTTCCTCAATAAATACATGAGGCATAACTGAAATAATGAGCCTTATTCCAGGAATCTCATAGGTAAATCAGCTTCATGATTTTATAGTTACACCTTCGTGTATTTTGGATTGAATTATTTTTTTCCATCTATTTAGAAGAGACTCCCTTGATTCACCCCATTATCAATTAATGTAAACACACAAGGGTCAAACTTCTGATTGAGGGAGGGAATAAGCACTTCTATACCACTTACTCTGTGTCAGGCACTATATTAAGAACTTTACAAATATTATTAAATTTGATACTGAGGTAGGTGCTGTTATTATTCCCATTTTACAGTTCAAAAACTGGGGCAAACAGGTTAAGTGATTTTTCCAGAGTTACACTGCCAGTAAGTGCCTGAGGTTGGATTTGAATTCAGTACTGATTCCGGACCAGTTTCTATCCAGAGTACCACCCTAGCAGCTGCTAAATGGCCAATTTCAATAAGTTGAACCAATCCATCATTCAGTCAAAGGTATACACTAAGTATACGGGGCTGACCACAACACTGTGTTTCGTTGTAGGTGCCACATTTTAAGGACACTGATATGCTAGTGTGTCCAAAGGTGGGTGACCAGGATAGCTATGGATTCTGAGTTTATGTTGTATGAGAATTCAGTTGAAGAACTTAGGAATGTTTAGCCTGGAAAAGAAAAGGCTCAGGTGGACATAACAGCTGTCTTCAGGTTGTCACAGAGGAGTTAAAACTTGTTCTGCTTGGTCCAGAAACCAGAAAACTAAGAGTGGGGGGGAAGTTACAGAGGCAAAACTCAGCTGGACACAAACATTTCCCAACAAAGCTCCTTTCCAAAGTGGGATAGGCTGCCTGGAGGCAGTGAGTTCCTTCTCAAAAGAAGTCTTGAATTGACCAGTCCTGGGAAGTCTCTTCTGATTCTGGAATTCTGTGATTTTGTGATATTATCACAGAAGTGTACTACTCTTTCACAATGTAACTTATTTGCAAAACAAAGTGAGTTAAATATTTTCTAGTTCCCACATTAGATTATAACTAGACTATAAGCTCTTTGAGGGTAAGGACTCTTTAAAAAAATTTTTTTATATTAATTTATTTTGATTTATCAACAATCACTTCCATAAGCTTTTGAGGTTTAAATTTTTCTCCCCCTCCCTCCCCAAGATGGCATGCAATCTGACATAGGCTATACACATACATTCCTATTAAACATATTTTCACATGTAAGGAAGAATTAGAACCAATAGGAGGAACTACCAGAAAGAGGAAACAAAACACAACAGAAGAAAAAAAAAAGCAAATAGTATGCTTCGATCTGCATTCAAACTCCATGGTACTTTCTTTGGATGTGGATAGCATTTTCCATCATGGAACCTTTGGAGGTGTCTTAGATTCTTACATTGCTGAGAAGGGCTAAGTCTATCAACATTAGTCATCGCACAATGTGACTGTTACTGTGTACAACATTCTCCTGGTTCTGCTGGTAAAGATTCTTTTAAAAATCATTTTATTCCCCTAGCAACAACCTCAGAGCACTTATTAACATTTAATAACATTAATATAGATAATAATTGGTTTATTAATTAATCTAGTAGGCACTTAGTAAGGGGGGAAGGGTCTACTTGCCTCTTGAAGGCAAGTCCTTAACATAAGGAATAAGTGAAATAAAGTAGGTGTTAATAACTTCATTGCAAAATCCCTTACTGTGGCTTTTTCTTGTGAGTAATTCTGAGTTGGGAAGCTAGGTGGTGCAGTGGATAAAGTGTTGAGCCACTCATCTTGCTGTGTTCAAATCCAGCCTCAGACACTTCCTAGCTGTGTGACTCTGGGCAAGTCACTTAACCCTGTTTGCTTCAGTTTCCTCATTTCTCAAATGAGCTAGAGAAGGAAATGGCAAACCGCTCCAGTATCTTTGCCAAGAAAACCCCCAATGGGGTCATGAAGAATTGGACAAGACTGAAATGACTGAACAAAAACTGATGAAATATCAGAGGTGGAAGTCCTGTATTTAAGATCAGGCAACATGGTTCGGGTTTGGTATTTTGATTCCATTAAGAATGGAATATTTGTTCATTATCTGTGAATGAATGAATGAGTAAATGAATGAATGAAAAACCACTCATTAAAGGTCTTGTTATGTGCAAAACACTGTGATACTGGACCAGGACTATTTAATTATAGGGTTGGTCTCTTAGTTTTTTCCCAACAGCCATGCCAACCAGTCTTTCCTCCAGCTCTCTTTTTCTTATTCTATTATACTCTGATTAGTAAGAGAAAGCGCTACTTTTTGTTCCTATTCACTCTGTAGCCTATTTCTTTTTCTCATTCTTCTTTCTTTCGATAAACCCTAAGACCAATGAAGGAACTGGTGCTATTCCTTTAGATCTAGTTATCCAGACCTAGACTTTTTTTTTAACTTTTTTTTTCCCATATGCTTTTGAGTCAAAAATTTTTCTCCCTTTCCCCCCCCCACCCTCCCCCAGACAGAGCACAATCTGACATAGGCTTTACATTTACATACCCATTAAACATATTTTCACATTAGTGAAGTTGTAAGTAAAAATTAAAACCAATAGGAGGAACCATCAGAAAGATGAAACAAAACTCAACAGAAGGTAAAAAAATAAGTGATAGCGGTTCGACTTCCATAGTTCTTTCTTTGGATGTAGACAGCATTTTCCATCCCGAGGCCTCTGGAGATGTCTTAGATCCTGGTAATGCTGAGAAGGGTTCAGTTTAACATTCTTAGTCATTGCATAACATGGCTGTTATTGTGTACAAAGTCCTCTTGGTTCTGCTCACTTCACCAGACCTAGACTTTTAAACAAGATCCAGTACCCACATTCACATCAGGACTCATTCAAAACAAGGAAATATTTAGGAAAGAGTAAACAGATTTGAAAAAACTAATAAGGGGATGCATAATATCCACATTAGTCCCCTCCCCTCAGAAATGACTTTGCATCTATTTAATATATATTTTGGATCTAATCTTCTGTGTGCATGTTGCTTTCTCCCAATGGAATGTAAATTCCTCAAAGGCGAATACTGTTGGGTTTGTATCTTTAGCATCTAGTACTGTGGCTGGCACATAGCAGGAGTTTAATAAATGCATATTGAATGAATGAATGATAATCATGTATTTACTCTCAAAAAATCATGCAACTTGTGCTTCTTTTTTTTTTTTTTACAAACTTTTTCTCCTGTTGACTGGGTACTGAGTTTCTGTTGTTAGTTAATTCAGTTAACATTTCTTAGATTTCATTGACCCCATTTTTTCTTCCATTTCTTCCGTATCAGCTGCAAACATGAAGTAAATTTGAAAACATCTTGTCGCAGAGGCACTACATGCCCACATTTGGAACACTCACCACAGTAACATACATGGCACCAGTGACATACAAGCTAGCTATTTCCTTATATTCTACCAGCCTTGATCATTGCCTTATAATCATCTAAGATTCTGCAAATATATTCTGTTCCCTGTATTGTCACTGCCATGTCATGGTGTTATACCGAGAAATGAACGAGTTGACCACCCAAGCTAATTTTAAATTGTGGACTTTATTAGCACACGGCTGCCAGGGATATTCACATCCAAATCAAGCAGCCCCCATCAGGGGTTGAGCTAAGGTTTATATAGGGAGTATACAGGACAGGGAGGAGGATGGATCTTTGAAGTCTGGCTGGTCAAGGACACCCTTCTCCCTCTGTGTAGATATGATAATGCTCTGCAAACTTTCCTGAGCAGCCAGATAAGGGTCTTGCTGAGGCCCATGCATGAATACTGCTAGGCACAGCGTCCTTGGGCTGGGGAGTGGTTGTTAGAGATAGTGTTTCTGAGACTAGGGAGGCATTTTGGGGCAAAAGTATAAGCACAAGCACCCGAGCACCCCATCATTACAAATCAGAGATCACACAAACCAGACAAGGTGTCCTGGTTTCTGGTATAAACATAATTATCTAAAGCCATTGTATTGCAAGTTTTCTTATCCATTTGCTTTGGAGGTAGGGGCTGTGCTTAAGCCATGCAGGAGTACATTTCACTATTGTTTAGATTTAGGAGGAAAGAGGTCTGGGGCAAGATTAAGCAGCAACTTCTGCTTTCCATTGCCTAAAGGGCCCTACTACCTAAATGGTAAAATAATGTTCTGCATTACAATGGCCTCTACCTTGCGGCTTCTCTTGATTGCAAAGTCAGCTAATATTTTAATTGTGAATTCAAAAAAGGAATCAGTCATATTTTAAACTATTTTTTCTCCTGGATATTCAGTTTTTAAATCCTACATTTTGGGTTGATGTGCAGAGGTTAACCCAGGATGATTACTCTTATAAAAGACAGCATTACCACTAAATAAACATTTATTAAGACCCTGCGATGTGCAGGGCATTGCGCTAAGTGTTGGGGATGCAAAAAGAGGCAAAAGGCAGTCCCTGCCCTCAAGGAGTTTACAATCTAATGGGTCTGTCGCATTAGTTTAACAGGTTATCATCTAACAGCATCTAATAAAAGTTAGGCAGGTAAAGGGGAGTGCTGGCTGAACTGGGAAACAGAAGGACTGAGTTCTGGTTCCAACTCAGTCACTTGCCTACCATGGTAGGGCATAGACAAATCAATCTAAGCTCTCTGTGCAACATCCCTGAAAGAGAAAACAGAATAATTTGTTTTCTATTCCACAAGCGTATTTGTTATGAAAATAAAAACTATATAAAAATGAAACACACCCCAATAACTTTACTAGGCCCTTCAATGCTTTATAAACATAAAAATGATTACACTGATAAAACAGGAACCAGTTCTCATCCTATTAATATTCCTCAAAATACAATGCTTGAGGAAGCTAAGTGGGAGTGATTAGGAGGGGCTTAGAACACACTGAACCAGACTCTTAGGAGTGCACAAGTCCCTCCTTGATAGAAAGAGAATTATTGCCTACTTGCTCCAAAAGTACATGCACTTTTAGGGTTTCGAGATTTTTAAAAGCCTATTAAAGATGGAAAATAACAAACATTTAAAATTGCCAGTTTCTCACTACAGGCTAATCAAAATCCCATTGGTGTTTATTCAATTTTTCTCCTGGTCTAATTAGGTTTGGAGAAAAAAGAGCATATATTTATTAAGCTTTTCTTGATGGTCACAAACCCTCCCTTTAAGGTTCTTTCTCTCAAAGAAATCATAGAGGACAAATATTTAGTGGCAAAAAAAAAAAGAGCATTAAATGCCCAGTATGTTCAGAGTAGTAGGCAATGGAAGAGAAAAAAAACCTGAGCAAGACAAGATCTCTCACCTGATTGAGGCTTCCAACCAACTACTAAAGACTGTAGAACAAAATGAAAAGTTCCCCTTTACAGCAGTACTTCTGGGCTACAGTTCTATTATCCTTTTGGTTGAAACACAGGATTTGAGGTAATAGGATTTTAGGTCTGGCAAGAGCCTTAAAGGTCAATCACACTGAAAAGGAGAAAAGAAAAAAGAACAGGAACTAAAAGAGAAAATAGAAGTAAACTTTAAATTACTTGAGATTTCAGCTCAGAGGCAATTTCTTTTACAGAGACTTTCCTCTACTGGAATTGGCCTCAAAGATCATCTATATCTGGGACCCTCTTTTTAGAGATGGAGACTAAGAGCCAGAGAAGTAGCATGGTTTTCCTGCAGGTCGTACAGCAAATTCAGTGACAAGAACAGGCCTAGAGCCAATATATCCTGGCTTTCCACTCCACCATACTACAACCCATGAAAAGAAAAATGGACATGATGATGGGAAAAGGAGAGTTTGTTTTGCTTGATTTAAAAATAAAAGTAATATGTATTTATTTGGGCATTTTAAAGAAAAAGAACAACTGAATTTCAGACCTAGAAGGAGACTCAATCCCCTTATTTTACAGGCAATGGAACAAGGACCCAGACAGGTCACATACAGACTTGTCCAAACTCAGAAAATGGCCAAGCCAAGATTAGAACCCAAATCTCCTGAATGATGGAAAGAAAGGAAGAATGGTAGGGCAAAGGCAGATGGGACATGAATGGACAAGAACAACATACAGAAAAAAATGAAGTGGTCACAATATTGTTATTCCACAAGCAAAATTAGGCCAAGTTTAGTGTAACGTTTTGAAGGTGTCTTCAGCTTAGTGCTTGTTCCAGCACAAGAAAAACCTTCCACCACTACAGCTCTGAGTAGTGATTACAGACTTTTATTGAATACAACTCACTGGGGAAGTTGGAGGAGCTGTCCAAACAAAAGTGGATATGATAAGCAGGGGGCTTACCCATCAGAGGCACAGAACAGGTGCAGAGGAGGGCAGGATTTTCTGGAGGACTTGGACAGTTGCTCCGGAAGGAGTCCACTGGTCTGGTCTGGCAGAAGCCCTATAAGGGGTTCTAGGGGACTTCTCTTCATATTAGGCAGGTGAGTGGATATTCACAAACCTGGATGAAGACTCCTGGAGGGAGCTAAGGAAATCCTGCAAATTCTTTTTAAAAATCTTCATAATCATGGCTCTGGTACTAATTTTATTGGGTTGTTTTTAAGTGCGGGAAGTTGCCCCAGGGGCACAGTGGACTGGATGTGTGTGTGCGTGTGCATATGTGTGCACGTGCACACACACGCGCACACACACACACACACACACACACACATACTGCTAAGGCCCCCTTGGGATTTCTAGCTTTGTTTTAAGGCAGAAGGTATTTAAATGACTAATTCACCTTAGAGAAAATCTGTTCTGAGCTTATTCTAAAACTGCAAAATTACGGTAAACATCTTTGAATAATTACTATCATACTATGATAAAATATATCCAGTTTAAGATCTTATAAAGAAATCTGTATGCATAATAAATTCAATTTATGCACTCCCAAGGAAAGACAAGATGAATCACATTTGTCAATATCCAAAGTAGTGGTTCTTTGGTGAGTAGGTTTGTAACATTCTTATGGCACCAAATCTATTCTTCTAGGATAAAGATAAATTGCTAAAATGAAATCGTTTAGTGACTCTCTATTATCTAAAAATGAACGTTTTAATATCTAGAAGAAAATACCTTCCTAGACAACTGGAGAGACCAGATCCTTGAAGGATCTGAGTAATCCACTTCATTCTATTCATTATAAGGTGCTTCTCTTCCTGGTCTACATCTCAAAAACCTTTAACAACATCCCCCATCCTCTCTTCCTTTACTCCAATTTCTGATGAAGAGATAGCCCTTCTTTAAAAATCTCCCTCAGGGGCAGCTAGGTGGCACAGTGGATAGAGTACCAGCCCTGGAGTCAGGAGGACCTGAGTTTAAATCCGGACTCAGACACATAACACTCACTAGCTGTGTTACTCTGGGCAAGTCATATAAACCCAACTGCCTCACCAAAAAAAGAAACCCTTTTAAAAAAATCCATATATACTCTGGATCCCATCCTCTCCCATCTTCTCAAGCAGACTGCCCCCACAACCATTCCCTCTTTCTAATCCTCAATCTGCTGGCTCCTTCCCTTCTGCCTACAAATAATCCAAGGTCTTCTCATCCTTAAAGAAATTTCAATTGATCCTACCACCCCCTCAAGCCATCATCCTATTTCTCTCCTATCTTTCACAGCCAAACTCCTAGAATAAACTGTTTACTTCCTTTCCTCTGATTCCCTTCTTGACCCCCTGCAATCTCTGTTTGAATACAACAGTCAAATGAAACCGTTCTCTTCAAAGTTACCGATGATTTTTAAATTGACAAAACTAATGGCCTTTTCTCCACATCCATATAAAACTCTGCAATGTCTGGCACTGTTGACCGCCTCTCCTCCTGGATACTCTGCCTCTTCTGAGTTTTTGTGACCCTGCTCTTTGAGTTCTTTTCTTACCTGACTGCTCCTTCTTTCTTTTTTAAATTTTTTAATTTTTTAAATTTTTAGGCAATTGGGGTTAAGTGACTGGCCCAGGGTCACACAGCCAGTAAGTGTCAAGGCCGGATTGGTCTGAGGTCAGATTTGAACTCAGGTCCTCCTGACTTCAGGGCTGGTGCTCTACCCACTGCACCACCTAGGTGCCCCCTGACTTCTCAGCCTACCTTGAGGGATCATTATCTCTAGGTTCTGTTCTCTGTAGGAGTTTTCCAAGGCTCTGTCTTTGGTCCTCCTTGTCTCTTTACACTCTCTAGGTGAGCTCGTTAATTCCCATTGTTTTAATCACCATCTGTTCTCACGTTCACTATCTATACCTTCAAACTCTTCCAAACATCCTTATTTCCGTTAGGGGCAAGCTTCTCCTTCTAGTCATTCAGGTCCACAATCTTGGACTCATTTCTGAGTCTTTGCTTTTCTTCTCCCCCATACCCAATCAGTTGCCCAACCTTGTTGATCCTACCTTCACAGCATCCCGTGGTCAGTGAGACAATATGCATGCATGAGTTCAATTCCTCATACTTCTTAGTAGAGTGCCCAGCACATAGTAGGTGCTTAACAATGCTTGCTGACTGATTGCTTTCTTGCCTGGACTACTGCAACAATCTCTGAATTTGTCTCCCTACATCAAGTCTCTCTCTCTAATCTATTCTCTGTATATTTTTCAAAGTGACACTGATGGGGGCAGGGCCCAAGCCAAGATCTTCGCCCTTTGCCCCAAAGGGAATCTGACTCACAGGCCCCAGACCCTCATCTCCCCTTGAAAGCCCTTTAGATCTTATTCAGATGCACCTTCAACCCTTGCCCTGAATAGAATCTGGCTCCTGTTTGTCTACAGGACCCAGAAAACCCTTAAACCTTCAAATTTCCTAATCAACTCCCCTCATATCCCTTTGAAAGCCTTAGGCTCCCTTTTGTCTACAGGCCTCAGAAAGGCCTTCCTTTATCTCCTTTTGAAAGTCCTAGCCCCACCTTGATTTTGTACAGATGCCTTCCAGACTTCTGCCTTCCTGTTCCCTCCATTAGCTATTCCCATTGTCTACTTAATTTCTTAGACCTCCCCAATTAGAATTCTTACCTAGACCCTTTTCCCAACCCCCTTCTCTGGCCACCCAAAGTTACTTTAGTATTTAAGATCCACCTTGGCCTTCATTCAGATGCTGAGAATCTCACTCTCAAAAGGCTGAGAACTTCTCAAGCCCGCTCCTCTTTAGGGGCATCACCCAGTTGAGAACCTCTCATGCCCGCTCGTCTTTACGGGTGTCACCTGGTCAACGTGATTTATCACTAATAAACTTTTCCTCTGGCTGAAGATTTGAGTTGAATTCATTCAGCAGGGCCTGGTACAGCAATCTTGGGGTCCCAGCACCCCAAAAGTCCTAGACCTCTTCAACACTCCTAAAATATACCTCTGAGCATCTCATTTCTTGGCTCAGTAAACTTGTGACTCCCTACAACTTCTAGGATAAAAAACAATTTCTATTGTTTGCCATTTAAAACCTGGCTCCAAAATATCTTCCTAACCTTATACATATTATTACTCACCTCTACATACTCGATGGTCCATCCAGATGGGCCTTCTTGTTGTCCCTCACACAGGACAACCCTTGTTTAACTCTGTGTACAGCCTGTTGTTCTCCACTCCCTCTTCACCTCTATCTCTTAGAATCCCACATTTCCTTGAAGGCTCAACTCAAGCACCATCTCTTACTTCAACACTACTGAAGTGTTTCCTGATTCCCCTCACCCCTCTAACTGCCAGTGTCTCCTCTCTAAAATTATCTTGTACTTATTCTTAAATATCTGATTCTTATATGTGTACATGTTGTCTCCTCCAATAGAACCTAAGCTTCTTATGGACAAAGGTGGTTTCATTCTTGCCTTGTATGTCTACCAGAGTGCCCGGCACTAGAATTTTTTTTGGGGGGAGGAAGTTTCCCCTCCAGGAAAAGCCTGATCTGGCATTTCACAAGGAAAATACATAAGGCATAAAACAGAGAACTAGCTAGGGGTCAGGTGAACCAGGTTCAAGACTCAGGTTTGGCCACTCCAAACTCTGGAATCTTGGGCAAATACCTTAAACACATTAGCATCAGTTACCTCGTCTCTAAATGGACCACTGGAATAGAGGGTAGATGTCTCAAAAGTCTGTTTCTGCTCTGAAGACTCCATTAAAATTTTTTTTAGCACCTGTGATTTTGCTGGTATGGAGAACTTCCAGTGAAGAAATTTCCTTCATCAAGGCACATAAGCAATTTGCAACTTGAAGTCTTAGAGAGCTGCTGGGGCTCAAAGGAGCTAAGTGATTTTAGGCTTAAACAGAAAGCATGTGTCAGACTCAGGAATCTGACTCAGGGGTGTACTTGGCTCCACAGCCAATTATTACATTTTGAATGTGAATATTTACACCTTGAAGGCTGAAATATGCAATGAATTAGGGCTTGCTTTAGTGTGTTGATTGTCTAGACTTAAGAAAAAAAAACATAAGGCAGAAGGGTCAGATAAGGAATTCAGTGATTTAAGTGTGAAAAGCATTCATTATCTAATACATATGAAAAATTGGGGGCTACCAAAACCAAAAGAAAGCACATAACTGTTGCTCAGAAAGAGCTGATAGTTGAGTGGTGGGAATTACAATATGATCCTGCTATCCCTCCTATCCCATTTGTGGAGTCAAGGCCTGGTCAATGACAGGTTAATGTAGTTAACTGAAGTGGAAAGAAAACACAAAGTTGAAGACCAACACTTCTGGGTTTCTGGCCATTTCTGGCTCCTGCTAGTAATCTACGGCAGGTTTCCTACTATTGTAAATGGTGGCTGTTCAGGGAGAGCCTAAAGATAGATAAGGGAGGTACTACGAGAAGTGCAGTCACGGAACCATGTTGGGTTCTGCTGGGCACATACATGCATGCTCAGGATTTAGTCTTAAAATTAAAATACTTTTTATTAACTTGCCTTATGTAGTAGGACTTCTGAGAAGAACAGACATTAGCATGCTTAGTAGCTTCCAACTGTTACACTCCTTCACTGTCCCACATCTCTAAGACAAGCTTAAATGCTACCTACCTTTTTCTGTACTTGTACGCAAAAACAAACTCATTACATGCAAAGATATACTCTTTAAGGGAGGATGATCATGGGATCACAGATTTAGGACTGGAAGGGACCTCAAAGGCCATATAACCCAATCCTCTCATTTACAGACAAAGAAACAGAGTCCCAGGAAGGTACACCTCTTTGTACTTTTTCCTTCATGCCCTATCTTCTGACCTTCCCCCTTACTTCGTGGAGCTGGTTAGTGGCAGGAGGCTAAGCTACGGATAGGGTTTCCTCCCCATCTTCCTCAATAACTTCAGGACTAATAAAGCACAATAAAAAAAATTCAGCTGATAATCTGCATACAGACCACACCCTGGCAAAGGAGAATCTCCCACTCTGCCAGGATAGTTAAAGGGAGAGCTTGATGTAGATACACCTATGGAGATAAAGTTGAAATTTTATTTGAAGTTTGTTTGTCCTTCAAACTACAGAAAGGAAGAAAAAAGAGGCAATTTAAAGTTCCATTTTCTTTTCCATGCCTTAATGATACATTCTGCTAAGTTTTCTCTTTCCAAATTCTTCTCATTTTATTCTTTTTTACAGAGACAAAATACTACATTTAATTCTTTCTTACCAACAGTTATTTTTCCATGAACATCCAAGGCAATGAGACATGTAAGGAAAATGCAAAAAGAAATGGAATCACAACTCTAGCAGCATTAATTGTTCTGACAATGATAGTTGATTCATGTCTGGGGTGTTTCTGAATTTGTAGATGACCATTCACCCAATTAATATGACTGGTTTAAAGACTGCCATTTCCAAAAGGAAAATATATCCCAATTACTCAACCTTTTCTCTGAAAATATGTATTAGCAGGAAGTCTTGAATTTCATTGCTGATAGGAATGAGGCTCAGTCAGAAAGAACTTCATTAAAGTCCTTCAGGAAATCAATTTTTGATTTTATGATTATTTAGAAGATAAAAGTGCTGTCTCATAGCTCCAAAAGATTAATTTTGAATAATAAATAATTTAGGTAGCTAAAAAAAGACCAGAGTTTTTAGGTTCATGTACTGTTATAAAACAATACATTTTATTTTTAAAATGTCGCTGAATTGCACATTTAAATAGAAAAATCCCATAAAATCTGTATGTTTAAATTTATTTCCTCATAAAGAATTCACAGGAAATATTTACTATATATATATATACATAATTATAATAGGAATTGTGATGAATGTCATATGAGTAAGGGTATACTACATTATCACAATGATGGAGTTTGATCCAAATTTTAATTAATGCATATAACCCAAAATGTTTCTACTCAGAAAGTCTCAGAATAACATCAAAGATATATGATTGTTAAGTAGTTTATCACTAAATTATTGTGTGATTTAATATAGAGATCTATGAATATCTAAATATCAAAATAATTTTCCCCCATGGTCATTTTATGACAAAGTTTGCTCATCAATTGTGTGGGACAGTGACCCCAACCCAAATTAAACTCAGAGACTTCTCAAGGTGTAAAGTAAAGGTTACCTTTATTACAGTCTCGGGAGATGGCTGTCTGTTCCTTCGATGATACGTGGGGAGAGGGAGAGGGAGAGAGCGAGAGAGAGAGAGAGAGAGAGAGAGAGAGAGAGAGAGAGAGAGAGAGAGAGAGAGAGAGAAAGAGGGGCCACCTTATGAAAGCAAATCTCCGCCTACCACGCAAACAAGCCTCCACCCACCACGCAAACAAGTTTCCACCCACCACTATCCCTTACCACATTCTAAGCTCGAAAGTTTCTTCCTATCCTCTTAACTGGGAGGTGAGGCTGACATTCCAGACCCGAAATTCAAAGACAAGGAAAGAGGCCAGAAGCTCAGGTTGGGGGTGGGGCAGGGCTTATTCTTTCGGTTAAGTGCTTAAAAACAGGGTCTAAGTGGGGGATGATTTTGAAAGTAATAATCAAGAATTATTTGACCCTTTGAGGAGCCTTCACTTCTGAGAGTTCATTTCTCACACTACCTTCTGAACTCATTACCTTAATTACACTGAGAAGTCTTCACTGGGACATCCCATTCAAATCAATCAACAAACATTTACTAACCATATACTATGTGCCAGGGACTGTGCAAAGCACTGGGGAATTCAAGAAAGTTAAAAAGCATGGTTCCTGCCCTCAAGGAACTCATATTCAAATGAGGAAGACAGATATACATAGTACAAATGGGAAGTGATCCCAGAGCCAGAGGACGGTACTAGAAGTGGAAGGTCCTGGTAAATGCCTCTTGCAGAAGAAAGTGGGATTTGGAACGAGTCTGAGTGAATCCAGGAGGCTGAGGTTAGGAGAGAGAGCATTCCAGCATGAGTGACAGCTAGTACAAACGAACATAGTTGGGAGACAGTGCTTAGCGCTAAAAACAAAACAAACAAACAAACAAAAAACTAGGTGTTGCTAGATTGTAGAACACAAGAGAGGAGTCAATGTAAGAAGACCAACTGGGTCCATGTCTTAAACAAAACCTAGAAAGTGTCTCACCCTCTCCAAAACCTTAATTAAGGATGATTGACTACAGACATCAAGGAAACCAGACAAAATTGCTGACTGACTATAAAAATTAAAGAAACTAGACAAAGTTTGGTGAAGATTTGTCATATCATAATTTTCTAGTGTGTCTAACACTATAGGAAGACATATATCAGACTGATAACTCTTAGCTGTATTCTCTTGGTTTGCAAATTACTGCTCAGAATGAAGTTACATAATGTGGGAAATGTGGGAAACTTTTTCACCCCTAAAGTAACATTTACTGACTATATTATTGCTTTTTACCATTAAAATATAAAAATGCTCTCAATAAATGAATTAATTACCTAAGGTATTGTGCCCAGAGAAGCTTGCTTTTTTCCCCAAATATTCCTGTAGTCAGAAAATAAGCAAAGAGTAGGATCAAATGAGATAATGTATGTAATATACTTTGCAAACCTTTAAACACTATATAAATGTTAGTTTTTATTATTATTTTAAATCATACAGAGAAGAAACAGAATGAAACTCTTTCCAATTAGATTGTAAACTTCTTAAGGGCAGGGACTGTCTCTCATACTTCTAGCCACATGCATTTTACATACTTGGCACTTAACAAGTATTTAACTGATTGATTCTATGACAGAGGATAAAACAGTTGTAAAACCCAAACTACTTTTTCTCAGCTTGAGGTAATGTAACAAGCGAGTGACTGGTCTTAATAAATATTTTTAAATTGACGGTAAAATATATTTGGTCATGAGTCCAAAGTCCATAGCATGAGTCCGGTTCATTACCTGATAAGCATCTGCACTGTGTTTAGTTAGCATATGTTCATTTTCTTCTACTATGAAACCTTTTTCTCTTGCAAAAGTCATGGCCCCTTCTTCAACAAGCAGACTGTGAGGTGATTTATTCATGACCTTTTGAGTCACAGCAAAGGGAATTGCAATTGTGTTTAAGACAAGAAAGTATTATGCTGCAATGTCTATGTATTGTTTACTTAAAGGACACATTTATTATTCTCTTAATTCCTACAACTCTTAAATTTTTTTAACATTCTTTTAAAAATTTTGAGTTCCAAATTCTCTCCCTTCCTTCAGGCCTTACCCCAAACACTGAGAAGGGAAGCAACATGATACCTATTATACATGTGAAGTCATGTAAAACATGTTTCCACATTAGGCATGACGGGAAAAAAGAAGCACGAAAAATAAAGGAAATGAAAAAAAATATGCTCCAATCTGCACTTAGAGTACATCAGTTCCTTCCCCGGAGATGCATAACATTTTTCACTATAAGTCCTTTGGATGAATTTGTATACTTCTTACTCTCTAAACCAGTGTTATCTACCATTTCACAGATGTTTATTTCCACAATATCCCTAAAGAATTATGTCTTACACTTTTTTCTATACCTCCCAGAATCTTAGCATTGAGTTTTATACAGAACAATCAATGGACAAGAATTTATTAAGTATTTACTAAGTGCCAGGTGTCCTAGGTGCTGGAGAAATAAATACAAAAATGAGAAAGCCTTTTTTTTCAAGGTTCTTGCACTCTACTTACAAAAAGCTGTTGCATTAAATACAATCATGATCAGATTTTTTTTTAGCAAATGTTAAATAGTAGAAAAGATTCAAATATCCAAACTGAAACTGGTGAAATTTGGAACTAAAGAAGCAGGTAAATTGAACCAAGATGGAATAATTTCTGTAAGAGACACTGTAGATTGACCAAGAAGAGCTAGTTTTCCTTCCAGGCAAATCTAATCCCTCTGCTTCCTCTTTTCACTCATTCCTTCCCATTTCCTCAAGTACCTTGAGCTGTTGAATCATGCCTTTGAATCTTTCAACTAACAGTCAAAATGTGTTCTTTAAAGCACCTACTTAATATCAGGAACTGTGCTAGATGCAGGGGATACAAAGATAAACATGAAATGGTCCCTGCCTTCAAGAAGCTTATTGTCTATGTTTCTAATCTTTTTTTTTGGGGGGGGGTGAGGCAACTGGGGTTAAATGACTTGCCCAGGGTCACCCAGCTAGTTAAGTGCCAAGTGTTTGAGGCCAGATTTGAACTTAGGTCCTCCTGACTTCAAGGCCAGAGCTCTATCCACTGCACCACCTCGCTGCCCCTTTATGTTTCTAATCGTCAAGCAAGGGTCAGAGTTATTATGTGGAGGAGTAAGTATGGATGATTTTCTCCATTAATACTGTGAGTTCTGTAGACTGCACAGGTCCTGGTTGAAGGAGGTCAACTCTCTAGTGACCCCCTGCCATTCTTTCCCCTTGTAGGCGAGGAGCTACACCAAAAGTGGAAGATGACAATTTCGAGGGAGGAAGAGTTCACGTACAAAGGGCCAACTCTTCAGGAACTCCAAGAGCTTCCACCATCTGCAGGCAGGGGCACGGGCCAAAAAGAGAATGATGTGGGGCAAACCCCCAAGACTAACCCTGATCCATGTAAGGACCGAGACCTTTAGGTAACAGCCATGGGTTAGAAAAATCAATACTTCTAGGTATTTTTCTTTAAAAGAGAGCTGTGAAGAATTGATTAATTTTGAGATTATAAAAGATGCCATTCTGAATGACAAGGACATCAAAACTGACTGACATGGGCATTTCATCTTTTTCTTGCTGGAATAAATTTTTTTTAAACCTTATTATAGATTTTATAGTAGGTTTTTTATGTGTAGAGTTCCCTTTAACTAAGAGAACTCCAAGTAAAAAACGTAAAGGAGAAGAAAAAAAAGAACTCTCATTTTTCTTTATACTATGTATAAATCTAGCTATTACAGATTGAATTGACATGAAATTAATTTTTCTTAGTTAATGCAGAAAAAATTATTTGTCAAAGAGTTCAAACATACAAAAATATGAATGGAATGGAATATTACTTTGCTACAGGAAATGATGAATATGGCAAATTCAGAGATACCTGGGAAGTACAAGAGAGCTGATGCAGAATGACATAAGAAGAAGCAATGCAACATTTTATACAATGACCAAAATAATGCGAAGAAAAAACTTTTTTGAAAGATCTCAGAACTCTGGTCAATGCAATGAATGATCGTGACTTCAAAAGGCTGATGAAGCATGCTTCATGTTTTTTGATAGAGGTTATAACCAAGAAGTACACAAAAATATGTATTTCTAGTATGAATTTGTTTTGCTCAGGTATATATTTTTGTTGTTACAAGGGAAGGATTCTATTTAGGGGTAGAGAGTTGGTAGATAGTGACAGTGATACAAAAAAAGTGTCAAGAAAATATTTTTAAATACATAGAAGTAAGCAGAAGGAGTTCAGAAGAGGGACCAAGATTTGTTACTAATGTGTTAAATTTAATGTACATTTTAAAAAACTCAAATTGTATATAACAGATGTTCAGAGTATCATATACAATCCTCTTTTCAGTTTTTGTACTGAAATGTTTATTTTTGTTAAGTTCACTAAGAAAAATTTTAAAAGACTACTACTCTTTCAAAAGCACCTAGCTATCCTTATTGTTAGAAGCTACTATAATAAAAATTTAACTCACAAAATGAAACTTTAATTTTTTCCTAAGCCCAATTTATATTGCTTTATATTCGAAGCAGACTCTGAATAAAAATGAGACACCCTCCTAGCTGAAGGCTAAGGAAACTGCTTTTAAAATAATATTCATCTAAAGTCTCCAAGAATCATGTCTACGTTACCTTTAACTGCATCCAACTACACTAAACATGCAAAGAACTTGTGAAGTTACAGAAAGCACCCAGAATTCAATTCTACAAATGGAACCAGGAGCCTGAGGAGGGCACTGCTGCTTTTATTATGGAATAGCACTAGCTATCAACATTGTAACCTGAGAGATTTCTTCGGTGACATGTTCTGGGATTCTCTTGAATGTGGAGGTCATGAAGAAACCCCTCAGAGAATATTCCGAGTGAACCAACTTCAATATTTATAATGATCCATGACAAGACTGCCCACTGAGACGGCGTCACTGAAATTTCATCAGTGCGAGGATTCCTTCTATTGATGAACACTGCAACCTCCTTTTATAGCTTGGTAGATGATTTCTCAAGCATTGCTGGGGCCAAAAACACTCATCACCTTACAGACAAATCAGTGAGAAACTTCTTCAGACCTAATTAAGTTGGTCCTCAGACTCCAGGCATTCAGCAAACTACCCTGGAACTATGGGCATCCTTTAACTTTATCTTGACTAGAACAAGCCACCGTCCCACTTTATGTCTGATCTCCAAACAATGTTACTGCACTCTAGTCCTCTTCATCCTCTCACCAACTCAGGTTCTTGTCCCTGGAAATCTGGGCTCTGAGAGGTGACTTGTCATTTTCTCTTACCCAGAATCAGGCTACCACAACACTTGTCAGGAATTTCCAAGGACGCACAAGTCCCCTAGGGAGGCCCCTTCCCTTCCCAACTTTTAGTTCCCCTATGTGCCCATTCTTGCCCCACTGGAATGTAAGCAACTTGAGGTAGGGGCTGCCTTGCTTGCTTATATTTGTATCCCAGCACTTAGCAGACTGCCTGGCATATATTCAATTCTTTTGGCCCAAACTCAATGTCTTTCCAGCCTGGTAGGATCTGCTCGAGTATGCTTCTCTGGCATAACCTTCAAGACCTCAGAATTACCCCCATGTTGGCTAATATTTACACAGGGCTTTAAGGTTTGCAAAGCACTTTACACATCTCATCTCATTTGATCCTCATAACAACCCTCTGAAGTGGGTACTAGTATTAGCCCTATTTTATAGATGAGGAAACTGAGGCAGGCAATGGTTAAATGAGTTACCCAGGGTTACAAAGCTAGTGTCTGTGGCCAGATTTAATAATGATGATGATCATGATGATAACTAACATTTACATAGCACTTACTATGTGTCAGGTACTGTGCAAAGCACTTTGAAATCATTATCTTATTTGATCTTCACAACAACCCAGGAAGACAAGTGTTGTTATTATCCTCATTTTACCGATGAGGAAACTGAGCTAGACAGAAGTCAAGTGACTTGCCCAGGGTCACACAGCTAGGAAGTGTCTGAGGTTAGATTTGAACTCAGGTCTTCTTGACTCCAGGTCCAGTGCTCTATTCACCATACCAGCTAACTGCCAATTTGTAGAGCTGCTATTTGTAAAGAGTTTAGTTTAGCACAGTGTCTGGCACAAAGTAAGCAGCCTACAAATGCTCATTCCTGTTCCCCCTTCCTGCCTTCATGACACGATTAAGGACTGGAGTAAGACTTTTGTGGAGTCTGTATCACCACATATTACGGAAATTAAAAGATTAGTTCCAATGAGCAATTCTGTGTTTAGCATTCTAGCAGAGAATTTTTACTGGTAGGGCTGAAACACCCAGGAAGTGCGTTCTCCACAATATCTGTAGATTAAACTTCAGAGAATTATAGCAATGCTATTCTTCCAAATTCAGTGACAACTTTGAGAGAACATGCTTTTCATGGATCATCAGAATTAATCAATCACTTAATCAATCAATAAGCATCTACTACCACGCATTATTCTAGGCCCTATTTCCCAGGAGTTGTGATGCTCCTGACTCTTTATATTACAACAAACTTCAAAACTGTATCATGTTCAGAATATTAGTAGCAAAGGTACTTCTGTACCTATAACAGTACTCACAAATGCAAGTACAAGATTGAAGTTGACTCTAGTTGTGGTATATCAATAATTGATGGTTATCATCCATAATATTTTTTAACAAGACCTTATGCCACAGTTATCAAGGTTTCCATGCATTCTCCAAAATTATAAATATCATCCAGATGATACTGCTGGACTCTATTATAAGTGTATAATGTCTCTGTGCAGAAACTGATTTATCATCCTTTGGGAGCAGTACAAAAAAGATTCTTATTCATACCACTAGGAAAAAGTGTTCAAACTATGGAGGTAGGTCGTGGGTATAGTCTGGGTAAAGCAAGAACTCTCTGGACATCTTAAGGCAGTTTTCAAGGGGCAGCCACTGTGTCATTTCGTCAGGATCCTGCTATTATGCTGACTGGTTTGAAAGTTAAATTACATATATACAGATATTTAAATTTTTTTAAAATGAAGAGTTTGAGCATTAAATCAAACGAGGTGTCCCCATTTGCTGAGTAACAGCAAATTATGCACTCAGCAAGTTATGTCAATTGTGCTGAGCTCAAGATAAGTAACTTTGTCGAGGTGGTGGAGACTATAAGTATACTGTTACAAGGTGCTTTAATGATAGTAAAATATGATAGTAAAATTTAAAAAAATGATAGTAAAAGTATGAAGAAGAACCTTTTTTGTACTGCTCCCAAAGGATGATAATTCAGTTTCTGCACAGAGACATTATACACTTATAATAGAGAGTCCGCAGTATCATCTGGATGATATTTATAATTTTGGAGAATGCATGGAAACCTTGATCATCTCCTTGCTATTTTTGCTAAAGGACAGGTCTTTTCTAAGCTTGAGCTTGCCCAAGCTTATCAAGGGATGCTTTATAATGATGCTACTATAGATACGCCCAAGCAATCAATACTTGTCAAAGGCTATTCTGAGTTAAGCATCTTCAGTTTTAAAATGTCTATTGCTTCTGAAACCTTCCAGTACTTCATCTGGCAATATACTTTCTAGGATCCTAGATATAGTGCCATATTTCAAAGTCCCCTAAGGTATCTAATCCTTTATTTTCTTCCATCCAACTATTTTTTACTTAAATCATGCATACTCACTATCTTTTTTTTTTTTGTCATTTAATATATCTTAATACTTCTTTCCACTGAAGGGGCTCTCTTCAAGGTTACCAATTATAGTAAATCTTTGGCTATCTAACAATCAACTTTTCTGGCACCCTTAGGCAGCCAGAATGTTTCTGAACCCAGAAGCAAAGGGGGGAAAATGAAAATCTCTGACTGCAAAGAAAGAGCATCAAGGAGTAATTAAAACAGTTGGGAAAAGCAAGAGAATCAACACTTACCACTGTATGACTGGTCAGTTCACCAATCAGAAAGCAAGGTGAATGCCTTTTTCTGATTACTGGGTGACATTTATAAAGAATAGCCTTTTCGTGTGAAAGCTGAAATGTTAGGGAGAGGCAGCAGGCAACAGAAGAGACAAGAAAGGAGAAAAGTAAAAAGAAGTGAGCAGTGGATATCAGAAGTAGTAGAGAGTAAACCAAGGTGGTAGTAGCAGCAGTAGCCAGTGGAGATTAGAACAGTGAAAAGGACATCATTGAGTAGCAGACAGTTCCAGCAGAGAAGAATAGAATCAGTGATAAAGAGAAGGCACTCTCAGGAGTGCCCCATACCTCCACAGTGTAGTGCCTGAAAGCACAAGCAAAGGGAGCCCCTACCTTGTGTGTGAGTCTCTGTCTATGTATTTGTGTGGATAGGGAACTGCACCTGCACCTGTAGCTGAGCCCTAATGGCAACAGTTAACACCCCAGGTCAGCAGGCAGGGCAAAATGGACAAAATTATTCAGCTCTATGTTCTATACCATAACTACCAGCATCAACAACTATAACTGTAGGGTGGGTAAATGAAATTTACATTTCAGAAAGAGTTCCATTAAAAAGTCAAAATGAAAAGGTTATGAATGCTTTATTATACCTACTTATTGACAAATTCATGGCCCCGACAAATTTTTTCACTGCCTCTTTCCTCTTTATTCCCATTTCCTAAATGAGATTTATTTATGTTGCCTGTAAACTTTATAATACTATATGAAATCAGCTATTTCTTTTTTCCTCTCTGGCCTGTATTTTCTCCATCCTTTTTTGCTTTTTAATTGTTCACTGGAACACTATTTACTGAGCATCTACTATATGTTAGTTGTATATTATTAATGATATCATTAGTGGGCATCTAGAAAAGAAAGTAGTGGCCACAAAAAGCCAGCATGACTTCATCAAGACAAGGCCATGCAGGACTAAAATCCTTTCTTTTTGTGATAGGTCGCTAGATTGATATTTTGGCAGTAGGATCAAAATCAGATAGAAAAGGTGGCCAATAATCTGCACGTAAGGATCCCTGTGCACCACACTAACTTAGAAAACCATTTGTTAATATTATCTATGTTCGATTGTATTTTTATTTATTTTGTTAAATATTTCCCAATTATATTGTAATCTGATTTGGGCAGCACTATGTAGTGTTGAGGGCCACAATGCAGCCACTGGGCTGCCATGTCGGATACCTCTAGTTTACAGGAATGCTATAAATTTAAATTTTAGCAGAGCATATGGCACAGTTTCTCATGCTATTCTTGTAGACAGAATGTGGGTTAGACTTGGATTTAGAATGGGTTGAGACCCAAGGAGTAGCTATGAGGTTTCTGGTAGGGTGTTCCTGAGATTTGTACTTGGCTTGTGCTGTTTTAATATTTTTAACAAGGAGTAAAGAAATAAATGTCATTAAAAGAAATAAATTATTAAATTGATATGCAACACAAAATTGGGAGGGATGGCTAATGAATTGAGTGGAAATCAGGTGAAAAAACATCTTGCAGACTAGAATGTTAGATTAAATATAAAAAACATGAAAGTGAATAGGAATAAATGTAAAATCTTATATTTGGGTTAAAAATCAACTCTGTTAATACAGGGCAGAGAGGAGATATGGTTAGGTTATCAGGTCAACTGAAAAATGATTCAAAAGTTTTCATGCACTAAGAGCTCAATGAGTCAACAATGTGATTGATATAGCAGTCAAAAAAACTCATGAGATCTTAGAATAGGTAGGGAGGTGGAGTGTCTAGGACCAGAGAGGTGACTGCCCCACTGTGCTTTGCCTGGACCACACCTGGAATATGATGCACATTCCAGTAGCCACTTCTAAGAGGAACACTGATGAGCCTGAGAGTGTGTGAAGGATAGTGATGATCGGTAAGAGCCTGGAGATGATGATACTATATAACAATCAGTGGAAGAGAATCAGAGGTGTTTAGTGGAGAAGATAAGACTGGGGCAGGGAGAGAGGATATGATATTGTTTTCTTTTTTTAATTCAACAAACATTTAGTATGTTTTTACTGTGTGCAAAGCTGGGAAGCCTTCAAGGAAGATTACAGCTCATATACCACCATCTCTTGTAGTAGGGTAATGAGAAAAAGAAAGTTAATGAAAAAATGTGAGAAAATCCATCAGATCAAATCAACACATTCACTGATATTCTTTCATTCTAAAGGTAGGCAAAGGGGTAAATGATGAGAAATATACTGGAAGATATGATTCAGATAAAGAAATGAACAAAGCTTAAGACATAAGGACCACTAAGGAGCCTTATGCTTAATGGTACTGTTTTCAAGTTTTTGAAGGGCTGTAATTTAGAAGAGAGATTATACTTGTTCTGTGTAGCCCTTCCCTCTCCCCAGTCTAAGATTAAGGTTATAGGGAATCTTGGTAGAAATTTAGGAGAAGTTTGGGAGAAAGAAAAGGTCTACAAGTAGAGATTTAGAAGTCACTTGTATAGAGGTACGGTGGTTGGAGCTGTGGGAGCAGATTGTCCAGAGAAGACAGTTTTAGGGAAAGAAAAGGGGCCCTTCCAGGTTCAGGGGTAGGAAGAAGAAAAGGTGGTAAAGGAGATTAAGGTAAAAGGAGAGCCAGAATAAAGGAGAGCCAAGGAAAGAAAACGTTTTTAAAAGGTGGTGAATAGTTATTATAAAAATGGAGACTGAACACTGACTGATAAAAGACCATTAGATTTGAGGACTGTGAGTCATTAGTGACCCCCAGGAAGCTGTTTCAGTAGAGTAATGAGAAGGGGAACTGAACTTTAGGGGAATGGGTAGAGAGTAAGCAGCAAAGAAGTAGAAGCAGCAAGTGTAGACCAATACCTTTAGAAATTTGGCAATGAAACAAATGAGAGAAATAACTAGTGGAGACAGTCCTGTCAAGCAAAAATTTCAAGATTGAGGACACTTAGGCACGATAGTTGATAGTGTAAAGGAAGAGATGGAAAATGTGCAAAAGAGAAAGTTGCACTGAAAGGGTCAGAATTCTTAAGAGACAGAACAGTATGGGGTCAAAGGCAAGATACGCTTTAATAGCAACTTATCACTCATCAAAATTAGTGTGTATACTCATGTATATGTATATGGGTTTCAGTTTATGTATGTGTTGTATATAAATAAATGAAAGAAAAGTCCTATTTGTTAATAATCACGTGGATATGTGAATTTTGATTACATGTGTTAAAAGATTGTGTGTGACCATTTCCTCCCTTTGGACACAGTTAAATGAACCTTCATTGTAAACACTAACAAGCACAGTTAACATTAATGTGTTTATGTTAAAAAAATTCATCACATACCCATGTAAGGCCGCCATTGCTCCAAATCGACTGGGGAGACCTTCCATGACAGCTGCACCACATTGAACGAGCCCATCTTTATTTGGGTAGCCTCCTTGTTCAACTATGTATTGACCAGTTTTCTCACCATTCTCGATTTCTAGATGTAGTTAAAAGCATGATAGACCATAATTAATTTCTAGTTTTAGTATGTGTTATATATGGTGGTTTGGGAAATAAATATCCATTTGAAAGGTTACTGTTATACCATAACAATACAGTGGTTATTAATTATCAAATAATTTCATAAAAACATTTTTTGATTCTCTTACATTTCAACGGATCTGTGATCTCATCGAAATGGGCATATCTTCTATCATTAGAGATTGCAACTTATCTATGCCTTCTCATTTACCTGGCATGCTGAAGATTTTCCTCTTATTTGTATGTGTGTTTTTAATACATTCTGAGGCTAGCAGTGTGGCTATTCTTCTGTATTTCCTCATTCTTGCTTATATAAATGTAGGCTTACATCTTTTTTATTTTTCTGATCATACATTTCCTGAATGATGTCCCTCTATAGCAATTCTTGTATATAGGTCATCACTGTAAATATGCACAGCTTGCTCTGTATGAACCTCTTCACTGCCTTCTGCAGGTCCCCCATAACTTTGATTCTTTGAAGACTGTGGTGTTATTCACAGCCAACTGGCACTACTGAAAAGAAAGTCTATGTTAAAAAGATGGGGTTCTGTGCCAGGTAATTAAAAGAATTATACAATTTCTCAAATGTAATCTAGTTTTTTCTTTTCCTCCTGTTCAGGTCTGGGCCCAATTCACAATCCATTTATCATGCATATCCCAATAAGGTGGCTTTTTTTTTCATCCATTTAGCTTTTCCTTTCTGGATAGTTAGGCTACTCTCTTTTGAATAGCTACTCAAAATCAATTTCAACAAGAAGGCCCTGCAGTGTTCTGGGCTTAATGAAATTTGCACATTATCATCCCTATGCAGAAACATGTATCCTTCTCAATCACCTTTTCTTTGGGTAGCAATATCATCCATGGTTTCCTTCCCTCTCCCCCCTCCCTCATTCTTTTAGTATGTTCCCTTTCCTGAAACAGACTAATAAAATGATTCCTTAATGCTTTCAAGATTGTCATCTCCAATCTGAATTTCATTAGCACATACCTGGCCTGTTCTAAATGTTTTTTCTGTCTTTGTGTTTTCTCGTGCTATTTCTATTTCCTCAAATACCACATAGAGGACTAAGGTACTAGGATCCAAACGTGGTAGTTTCACTTTCATTGATGATGAAAAGAGATTACAGGACTGTGCATTTTAGAGACCTTAAAGGTCACTGAGTCTAACCCCTTATTTTATAGATGAGGAATCTGAGGTCTACAGAGTCTAAGTTACTCGCCCAGGGTCATACAGCTATTAAGTGTCTGATGGGAGATTCAAACCCAGGTTCTTTTAACTCCAAGTTTAGTGCTCTGTTCAGTCCACCACATTCCTCATTACAGAATCACTGACAATCTTTTCTTATTTCTGTCTATTTGTTGTCCTTCTGCCATGTATAAATGCCTCTGGGTTGATATGGCTCAGCTGGGGCTTATGCTAATCTTTCTGTAGAGTGCCTTTATCCTCCACTGCTTTTCAACGTTTCATGAAGTGATACTACTTGTAATCTTCCTAGTCCTAGACTAGCAGCTCTGGTGTGAGGGCTCGCTGAGTCTACTTGGAACTCAACTCTTACCTGTGACTCCAAGAAGCTATAGCATGTGCAGTGGCTACACCCTAGTAAACCATCTTGGCAGATGAGCTAAATTAGGTTGAGGGTAACCAAGAGGCCTCAAACCCACTGGTGAGTTGGTGGTGTGCGAGTCACCCCAAGCACGTGAAGACTTCTTCTAGTGGAATAGTTGTGAATGAGAACAATTTGTTTCAACAGCTATGAAGGTGGCTGAAGACAAGCTTGGTCAGGTATTGAAGGCAATGAAGATGCCAAGGTCATCCACTGCATCCTGGGCCATTGCTGAATGTCCTAACTTTTGTCTTTCCACTGGACTTTGATGACTCTGTAAGAGAGAGTGAGGCTGACAACTGTGTGCAACTCTGCCTCACTTAAATCCAATTCATGCATGAGTCAAGACATCATCTTGTCATGTCATTGGTCCTCTTTGAAAACAAAGGACAAACAACAACTACATCTTTCTCTATAGTATTTTAAAATTAGATTTTATTTTTCAATGATCAAATATTTCTTTTTTTTCTCCCTCCTATCTCCCCCTCAAAAAAACAAAAACAAAAACAGAATGCTTGTCCTATATACCTTTTTTTGGGGGGGGTTAATTGGGGTTAAGTGACTTGCTTAGGGTCACACATTTAGTAAGTGTCAAGTGTCTGGTCTGAGGCCAGATTTGAAATCAGGTCCTCCTGACTCCTGGCCTGGTGCTCTATCCACTCGAAAACAGAATGCTTGTAAGAAATAAGCACAGACAGTCAAGCAAAATAAATTTCCATATTACCCATGTCTAAAAATGTGTATCTAATTCTGCTTATTAGTCCATGATCTCTGTGAAATGGTGAGTAGCCTTCTTTATCACTGGTCCTCTGGAATCGTGGGTAATTATTGCACTGATAAGAGTTCTCAAGTCTTTCTTCTCTATAGTATTTTATGAATTAATCTGAATGTTAACCTAGTGTGAATCTTAACTGTTATCTCTCTCTGCCAGGCAAAACTTTGAATGTTTGCTGGCTCAGATGGTTTCTCGACTCATCTGACCTGATGATGGCAGCTACTTTACATTAAACTTTTGTAGGAAATGGTGATAATCAGGGTAGATGTCTTTGACTTTTTCTATTTTCCATTTTTCATATCAGCAGCTTGTTTGACAAGGCCAAGTTGAAATGGCTGCATTCATATCCAATTTTAATTATTATCTTTTCTTGTAATTTGAGAAGCAGTATAGCACAGTGGATAGAGTGTTGGACTTGGAGTAAAGAAGACGGGTTCAAATGCTACCTCTAATATTTACCAGCCAGTACACAGCACAGTGCCTGGCACATAGGAGGTATTTAATAAATATTTATTGACTGACAAGCTTTGTGATCACGGGCTTCTTTTGTGATCATTCAGCTTCTTTTCTCATCTTTAAACATGGGATAAGAACTGAAATACCTATACATCATAAGTTTATCATGAAACTAAAATGAGAAAACATATAAAGTACTTTGTAAACCTTAGAGCACCACATAAATATCAGCTATTATGACCGTTACAATTTGACATTGAGTCTAACCCTTGCTTTAAATAGCCAATGGTCTGATTGATTGCACACTGACAGCTGATTCTGATATTACTCCTACATCCCAAACTAGTGGTGTCCTGCCTCTTAAGATGGAGTTGATTTGATTCTGTGGTGGTGCTGTTCCCACCCTTGTTCCCTTCTCCAGCATCTTTAACCTCTAAATGTTTGCTGACTCTGTTCTCCTACCTTCAAAGATGCGCTGATCTCTTCTGTACTGAGAAATCACTGGCTTATTGTCTAGAGAATAAGTGGTCAAAGGATAGGAACAAACAGTTCTCAAAAGATGAACTGCTAATTTTAACAACCACTAGAAAGATTAATCCTTTTCATGAATAAAAATCCAACTTTGAAGACTCATCTCAAACCTAGAAAAATGGCAAAGATGAGAAAATATGGGAATATTCAATAGTGGAGGGGCTGGGGAAAAAATAGGCTCACAAATACATTTAGTGGAGTTGCAAAAGGATTCAACCATTCTGGCAAGCAGTTTGGAATTTTACTAAGATGCTCACTAAAATGATCAAATCCTTTGACTCAGAGATTACACTACTGTACAAGACATGTAACTGAAGGAGTTCAAAGACAGAAAGTAAACTCCCCTATTTATAGAGCACTTTTTACAGGGGCAAAGAACTGAAAACAAAGTAAGCGCCTGTCAGCTGGGAAATTGTTAAGACGAACTGTGATCCATGAGTATGCTAAAATATTATTGCACCTTTAAAAATGGTGAACGTAAACAATACAGGGAGGCAGGGGAAGATTTATGTGAATTGACGAAAAGTGCAATAAGCAGGAATAGGAAAACAATGAACAAAATGACTACAATGGTGTAAGTGGAAAGAACCACTAGCACCAAAAATCAAAATGGAACACTTTATAATTATAATGATTGATGATCTTGACCTTGAAGAAATATGAGAATGCACTTCCCTCCCTTCTTTGCAGGAAGGAATGCAGAACATTGCATGTACTTGATCAGTACACTGACTTGTTTCCTTTGTCCTTTTTTTATTCTTTGTTATAAGAGATGATTTCTGGATGAGAGAGGTAAAGGGCATATTGGGAAATGAAGGAGATTAAGAAAAAAACAGAAACAAAAATGAATTTAAATAAGAAAAACCCTGATGTTCTTTCTATAGGTCAACCCATTTCTCTCCTTTCTGTCACTCCAAATTTCAACCGATCTCCGACCAGACACTTGACACTTACTAGCTGTGTGACCCTGGGTAAGTCACTTAACCCCAATTGCCTCGCCAAAAAAACCAAAAACAAACAAAAAACCTGAAAAAACCCCCACCAAAACCAAAAACAAACAAAAAAAACCCAAAAACAAATGGGGAGCCCATGATGCCTATTCATTTCATTTCCTCACCATCCCTTCCTTCTTTCAGCTTCTGTTGTCTGTTCTCCATCCTAGGGCTCTAGTAAAATTTTACTCGAAATGTACACGTTATCCCCTTGACAGATCATGGGGGTTCACTGAATTTTAAATTCTCCTACATTTCTTTGAGTTATAATTCACACTGTTCACCAAACCCTCCTTCTCTTTCGCTCAAACCACTATGAAGGTTCTTGCAAACACTCTTGTGTTTTTCATCACACCATTTTCCCTATCTGAAATGTCCTCTCCACTCTCCATTTGGCTAAACTTTCTTAACTTTCAAAGTTTAGCTCAAGTTCCTTCCCCAAGAAACATTTTCAACCTATTAGAAGCCACAGTGACTCCTTCCTCTTCTAAACTAAGCACTGATTGACTCTAATACTCATTTGGAAATCTTACAATGCCCTATGAATATTTTTACACTATCATCTATATTGCTATTTAAATCTTGGGTTTATCACTAG